TTTTCATCAGCTTAAGTTCTAAACTGTGATTGACTGGAATAACTCCAACGTATTGGACAGAGATAGCATCTGTTTAAGCGTCAGATAAAGGAAGCTATCTGGATACGCCGCAGGGGGCCAGTTTTAAAACGAGATGAGGGGACTCGTAGACTCTCGCACATCTTTGACCAAGTATTAAACAAAGCGAAGCTGAATCGAGTCATTTCGGTACAAATATAGCAACTATTGTACATTACCGGGTAGCCGAATCGACATCGATTTTGTGGACAACTCGTACACATTTTACACCTTTGTGTGCATGCGCTTCACTGGTCATTTGTCTGTTGAAGGTGACAGAGTACATACCGTACTAGTCATCGAAATGTAACATAGAAATAATTATTGGTTGTGTAATAAGAACTTTTCATTATATATTCTGCCTCCAGCACGCATAAACAGAAGGACACATACATAACATACAAAGAGGCACAACCTTAAATGACCTCAGCTGTTAATAACACGTTAAACAAGTTAAAACCAAAGCCAAACCAAATCTTACTGCGAGTTTTTATCATACTCAATAGAAATCATGAGGAACACGCATTGTTCTAATTCCACACCTTTTATTCAGTATATGATTGGTTTATACAAACTTTAGTGCTACACTACTAACTCTGACCAAGAGGTGTGATGAGGAATCCAGAAAACGTGGTATAGCCCAAACCAAAAATTTCAGGCGAGTTATTGTCGCGGTTTCTGACCCAGACCATGTCTCCAACAGATAATTGTAGCACAACCGTTCTGGTACCTTTATCTAACGCCGAATATGAAAACAAATGTCCAATGTCTACTCCGTTTTTTACTATGTTAAGCTGCATAAGATGGTTGTTGGAACTTGAAAGTAGTACGGTAGAGGTGAATGAAAACAGACCGGCGACAGGAGCCGTGAAGTGTCCGTGTCGGGAGTCGTATCCGTTCCCGACGTTCGTTACAACGTGGTCAAACTCAAGAGTCTGATGCTCTCCAAGTTGCAAAGTATGGGGGGAGAGTCTAGCGTAAAATCCAACGGCGGTGTGGTTATCTGAAACATTTGTTTTGTTTAATACGATGCGTATTAAGTTTTATTAATGGATGATCCCATCCCTGGTACATTGGACCCAAATTTCCATTTAATGATCCCATCCCTGGTACACCGGACTCAAATTTCCATTTAATGATTCAATCACTGGTACACCGGACTCAAACTCCCACTTCATGATTCAATCACTGGAGCCACACTTCTATTGTATGATCACATGACAGGTATATTTTGCCAAAACTTACCTGGCCTGTGCATCAGAATTAAACTTTTTTCATATGATACCCTGATCTGTGCATCAAAACTAAACTTTCTTCATATGATACCCTGATCTGTGCATCGGAACTAAACTGTCCTTTTATGATCACATGACTTGTGAACTGGAACTAAATCTTTCCTAAATGACCCCTTGACCTTTGAACTGGAACAAAATTGTCCTTCTATGATCCCCTGACTTATGAACTGGAACTAAACTTTCCTAATATGTCACCGTGATCTGTTCACTGGATCCAATAATGCCATAATTTTACAACATCATCTTCTGATAGAACTCAATCTTCAATTACGTATTCCCATCATCAATGTAATTATTTTGTATGTGAGTGTAGTAAATCTATGCTGTATTAGCATCGCTACCTAAAGTACTAACATACTCCAGATGAAGTAACCTAGTGTAGCAAAAGTATAAAACTCACCCTCATTAGCCACTTTCCTTATCCGTGATAGTTTATCGTCTGCTGTAAATGTAATGAAAGATTGTCATGATTATGTTCATATCTTATGCCCTATCTGTCCGAGAGTTCCAATATATAGTCTCTGCCTTTCGGGATGATATGCGAATCTTTCAGGCTAAAAAGGGATCAATAAAATGCATTCCCTTGGCTTACGCCTTGGTGAAGATTATGTTACAGATTACAGACTGAGATAATCCGCTTAGTTACAAGTATTTCTCGCACCTTTTTGTTAGAAAATGTCGCTATTGTTTACAAGTGTCCCGTCCGGGGCCTAAAATAACTATGTCTACTTTACTACTAAAGTAACGTTCGAATGCTTACGCGTAAACAATGTAGGCCGTTCCTACAAAGAAGAAATCGTATTTCAAATTGTAAATTATATTTATCTACAACATCAGTAATCTAACATTATCCTACCATTACATATATTGACACAACAGTATATCTATAAAACGAATGTTCAATTTTGAACGGAAGGGGAAAGTGCTCAGATTACAGTATCGATATGTGAAAATTCGTCGAAACGTCGCGGAAAAGTGCCAGACGAATCGGACGAGATAGACAATTTAGGACGGGGTATCACGTGAGATATCCTTGTCTAAAGTGTGAAAAACGATTTACAAAGATTTAAAGTCAGTTTACAAACATAAGCAAAATTACAGGAGTTGATATGTAGATGCAATGCATGTGCAAACCCTTTAACTCTGTTCGATATTGCAAATACCTAAATACTGCATTTACCGTTTGTTCAACATTCACTAATGCATCAAATGCATAATTTACGGAACTAATTTTTGCATGATCACGGTTTGTTAATGAATATCTTCTAAACTTAGAAATTAGATGCATGGGGCGTAAATCATTTCCGCAGCTTTTCTCTATTTTTGATAATTTATAAATATGCTGCCGATGTTTACTAATTTCTACTGTATCGATCACATGATTTACATTAAAGAATAAATATATTATAAATTATAAACAGAATTTACATTTTCGGCGAATATCTAACTGACCACATGTATACTACAAATAACCAACAAACCCAAAAAGAAAAACCAATATAAACACAAACTTTGAGTTTACCTGACAAGATCAATATTCTTTCAGGTATATAAATGATAGTTTTGGACAATACCTTGTGGAACAGCTTGGTCTTGAAATCTCGATGAATGCAGTTGACCTTTGTCTTCCTCTGTCAACTGAGCGGTTGTGACGAAAGCATCCTCATCATGGCAAATGTCAAAGTTCATTTGCTCTAACTGACCCAATCTAGTTTCCATGACAGCATTGGCGGTCTGTAACTTCTCCGTTTGTTTAACAAGATCATGATTTTCTTTTTCAAGTAAGTCTGATAAGTAAAACATAGAGTTGACACACAAGGTACAAATGTATTTAACATGGATAAGTTGGAATGCTTATGCTGAGAAAAGGAAAAAAAATCTAATGTGTAGCCTGATTATTCTATTGTTTGGTTATAAAGTGACGTGCTTTAAGTAAATGCCAGTGTATTAAACTAGAGAAGAGGAGACTGTGATATCTGTTTCTGGAAGTGATGGGGGACACATGAACTTAAAGATGTCTCAAATACCTTATTTTTATCTGTTGACAAAACATCATCAATATACTACCTGGATATGGAATAATTATATAACTTATAAAACTCTCTCTCCTAATTGCTTTGCATAATCTAGCAAATTAAGAGGTCGTTAAACGACGATTATAATTGTTTGACATGTTTGTGAGTGTACTATTTTGCAAGTTAATCAGAGTTAAGTAAATAACAATACTTATTCGTCACCCATACTCCTGCAACATATCTGCCTGTAACGTCATCATCTTCTTAATTTCGGTAATTTCCTGGTCCTGATTGTTTCCTCTGTTACTGGAAGGTGCTCCCTGTATCATATCTGATGCCAGTAAAACAATAACGATAAAAGAAAAAGTGGCCATCTTGTCTGCCTCTGTCTAAACACATAACAAGTTTTATCTGCCGGCCTTTCTTTCTTATCATTCATTATCACCTGTAAACGTTCTTGTATGTGCCTCACTCTCTTACATTAAATGTGGGTCAATCGATGTGATATGAAACACTTCGCTGTTGTGAAATTAACTATCATTTATAATGGTTTCATTAATTCATTGCTAATCAAACTATTCAACATCGAGTTTTTTGGGTTTTTTTGACGCATTGAAAAATACACAAATTTAAAGTGAATGAAATGAGGAATATTGTGAAAAAGTAAGACCCTTCATTGCAACCTCGAATTGTTTTATATTTCACGAAAAAACCTATTATCATTAACAAAAACATTTATGCGTGAATAAAATAGGCATACTCCAAACATCGTTTAAACTGCAAATTCTACTAAGTACAGTTATGGGAACGCACAACGCACCAAAAATACCGTGCGCACACCGTGCATATATTGTTCGCACACCGTGCATACATCGTCCACACATGATGCGCACAACTGTGCGATTTAACAATCGTTCGCCCCGTTGTGCGCTTCTCTCCGCACATCTGTGCGATATGGTACAATTTGTTGATCAATATTACGGAATGGAAAAATGACGGAATGTTCGTATGCAATAATGTACACTGTTTATATCACTGTAATTTCTCATCACTACAATCAGAGACGTATATGTCTCTTTTATAATTAAGAGTATGTACAAGTTTACAATGCGTGTAATACAGTATACAGTGACCGTTAGACTGTCAAGAATGGGTTTTGCTCCTCGGTAACAGAACAGGTAAATAACAGTTTGATGAGTGACCGGAGTTTTACTTGGCCTGTACTTGACACATAGAGCTGATATATGATACCGTATGACCATTATACAAACTCAACTGGACGTTTAATATTTGTTATTTGCATTCGTTTTGGTCTATAGCTCCCATTCATCTGGTTTTCACATCTTGGCGAGTTACGTAAGTGCCCCGGGCGGGGTAAACTACGGTCCAGGTACAAAGTGGCAATGTTTACCTGTGTAGCCGAGACTGTGTTGTAAATTTACACTTTTCGATTAAGGTCGTTTAAAAAACCCACAAAACACCATTTCTAAATTTAAGAAAGTATAGACAGAAAGATGTAGCTAGAGTATAGAAACATACTAAAAAATCTAATTTTATGTTCAAACACGAAACCGTATATATTGTCAAGGCATTCCTCAATCTACACCAACCACGATTGTTATCGCCCAACGTTCGTCGATCGTCCGCACAAATGTGCGCAAGGAATGATCGTCCATTTTTTTTATCGTTCGCACTTCGTACACACATCGTTCACACATCGTACACACATCGTGCGCACACCGCACATCGTGTTACGTTGTGCGATCCCACAGCTGTACCTTTAGTTAGCTGTCGCAAAGTCGCCAACATACCATCTACAGGACCCATTCCCAGAACGATCCATTGCATTCTTAGAGACATGATCTTAAATGACCTCAGCTGTAAAACAAGTTAAAACCAAAGCCAAACCAAACCTTAATTCGCGAGTTTTTATCATAATTAATAGAAATCATAACGAACACGTATTGTTTTATTTCAACAACTTTTATTCAAGATATGATTGGATTTTACAAACTTAAGTGCTGCACTAAAGCCTCCGACCAAGAGGTGTGATGAGGAATCCAGAAAACGTGGTATAGCCCAAACCAAAAATTTCAGGCGAGTTATTGTCGCGGTTTCTGACCCAGACCATGTCTCCAACAGATAATTGTAGCACAACCGTTCTGGTACCTTTATCTAACGCCGAATATGAAAACAAATGTCCAATGTCTACTCCGTTTTTTACTATGTTAAGCTGCATAAGATTGTTGCTGGAACTTGAAAGTAGTACGGTAGAGGTGAATGAAAACAGACCGGCGACAGGAGCTGTGAAGTGTCCGTGTCGGGAGTCGTATCCATTCCCGACGTTCGTTACAACGTCGTCAAACTCAAGAGTCTGATGCTCTCCAAGTTGCAAAGTATGGGGGGAGAGTCTAGCGTAAAACCCAACGGCGGTGTGGTTATCTGAAACATTTGTTTTGTTTAATACGATGCGTATTAAGTTTTATTAATGGATGATCCCATCCCTGGTACATCGGACCCAAATTTCCATTTAATGATCCCATCCCTGGTACATCGGACTCAAACTCCCACATCATGATCCAATCACTGAAGCCACACTTCTATTGTATGATCACATGACAGGTATATTTTGCCAAAACTTACCTGGCCAGTGCATCAGAACTAAACTTCTTTCATATGATACCCTGATCTGTGCATCGGAACTAAACTGTCCTTTTATGATCACATGACTTGTGAACTGGAACTAAATCTTTCCTTTATGACCCCTTGACCTGTGAACTGGAACAAAATTGTCCTTCTATGACCCCCTGACTTATGAACTGGAACTAAACTTTCCTTATATGTCACCGTGATCTGTTCACTGGATCCAATAATGCCGTAATTTTATAACATCATCTTCTGATAGAACTCAATCTTCAATTACGTATTCCCATCATCAATGTTATTATTTTGTATGTGAGTGTAGAAAATCTATGCTGTATTAGCATCGCTACCTAAAGTACTAACATACTCCAGATGAAGTAACCTAGTGAAGGAAAAGTATAAAACTCACCCTCATTAGCCACTTTCCTTATCCGTGATAGTTTATCGTCTGCTGTAAATGTAATGAAAGATTGTCATGATTATGTTCATAACTTATGCCCTATACGTTCGAGAGTTCCAATATATAGTCTCTGCCTTTCGGGATGATATGCGAACCTTTCAGGCTAAAAAGGGATCAATAAAATGCATTCCCTTGGCTTACGCCTTGGTTAAGATTATGTTACAGAGTCGTAGCTCTCGACTGAGATAATCCGCTTAGTTACAAGTATTTCTCGCACCTTTTTGTTAGAAAATGTCGCTATTGTTTACAAGTGTACCGCCCGGGGCCTAAAATAACTATGTCTACTTTACTACTAAAGTAACGTTCGAATGCTTACGCGTACACAATGTAGGCCGTTCCTACAAAGAAGAAATCGTATTTCAAATTGTAAATTATATTTATCTACAACATCAGTAATCTAACATTATCCTACCATTACATATATTGACACAACAGTATATCTATAAAACGAATGTTCAATTTTGAACGGAAGGGGAAAGTGCACAGATTACAGTATCGATATGTGAAAATTCGTCGAAACGTCGCGGAAAAGTGCCAGACGAAACGGACGAGATAGAAAATTTAGGACGGGGTATCACGTGAGATATCCTTATCTAAAGTGCGAAACACGATTTACAAAGATTTGATCAATTTAAAAATATAAGCAAAATTACAGGAGTTGATATGTAGATGCAATGCATGTGCAAACTCTTTAACTCTGTTCGATATTGCAAATACCTAAATACTGCATTTACCGTTTGTTCAACATTCACTGATGCATCAAATGCATAATTTACAGAACTAATTTTTGCATGATCACGGTTTGTTAATTAATATCTTCTAAACTTAGAAATTAGATCCATGGGGCGTAAATCATTTCCGCAGCTTTTCTCTATTTTTGATAATTCATAAATATGCTGCCGATGTTTACTAATTTCTACTGTATCGATCACATGATTTACATTAAAGAATAAATATTTTATAAATTATAAACAGAATTTACATTTTCGGCGAATATCTAACTGACCACATGTATACTACAAATAACCAACAAAAACAAAAACAAAAACGAATATAAACACAAACTTTGAGTTTACCTGACAAGATCGATACTCTTTCAGGTATATAAATGATAGTTTGGACAATACCTTGTAGAACAGCTTGGTCTTGAAATCTCGATGAATGCAGTTGACCATTGTCTTCCTCTGTCAACTGAGCGGTTGTGACGAAAGCATCCTCATCATGGCAAATGTCAAAGTTCACTTGCTCTAACTGACTCAATCTAGTTTCCATGACTACATTAGCGGTCTGTAACTTCTCCGTTTGTTTAACAAGATCATGATTTTCTTTTTCAAGTAAGTCTGATAAGTAAAACATAGAGTTTACACACAAGGTATAAATGTATTTAACATGGATAAGTTGGAATGCTTGTGCTGAGAAAAGGAAAAAATCTAATGTGTAGCCTGGTTATTCTATTGTTTGGTTATAAAGTGACGTGCTATAAGTAAATGCCAGTGTATTAAAATAGAGAAGAGGAGACTGTGATATCTGTTTCTGGAAATGATGGGGGACACATGAACTTAAAGATGTCTCAAATACCTTATTTTTATCTGTTGCCAAAACATCATCAACATATTACCTGGATATGGAATAATTATGTAACTTATCTCTCTCCTAATAGTTTTGAATAATCTAGCGAATTAAGAGGTCGTTAAACGACGATTATAATTGTTTGACATGTTTGTGAGTGTACTATTTTGCAAGTTAATCAGAGTTAAGTAAATAACAATACTTATTCGTCTCCCATACTCCTGTAACATATCTGCCTGTGACGTCATCATCTTCTTAATTTCGGTGATTTCCTGGTCCTGATTGTTTCCACTGTTACTGGAAGGTGCTCCCTGTGTCATATCTGATGCCAGTAAAACAATAACGATAAAAGAAAAAGTGGCCATCTTGTCTGCCTCTGTCTAAACACATAACAAGTTTTATCTGCCGGCCTTACTTTCTTATCATTCATTATCACCAGTAAACGTTCTTGTATGTGCCTCACTCTCTTACATTAAATGTGGGTCAATCGATGTGATATGAAACACTTCGCTGTTGTGAAATTAACTATCATTTATAATGGTTTCATTAATTCATTGCTAATCAAACTATTCAACATCGATTTTTTTATTTATTTTTTGACGCATTGAAAAATACACAAATTTAAAGTGAATGAAATGAAGAATATTATGAAAAAGTAAGACCCTTCATTGCAACCTCGAATGGTTTTATATTTCACGAAAAAACCTATTATCATTAACAAAAACATTTATGCGTGAATAAAATAGGCATACTCCAAACATCGTTCAAACTGCAAATTCTACTAAGTACAGTTGTGGGAACGCACAACGCACCAAAAATATCGTGCGCACACCGTGCATATATTGTTCGCACACCGTGCATACATCGTCCACACATGATGCGCACAACTGTGCGATTTAACAATCGTTCGCCCCGTTGTGCGCTTCTCTCCGCACATCTGTGCGATATGGTACAATTTGTTGATCAATATTACGGAATGGAAAAAATACGGAAAGTTCGTATGCAATAATGTACACTGTTTATATCACTGTAATTTCTCATCACTATAATCAGAGACGTATACGTCTCTGCTATAATTAAGAGTATGTACAAGTTTACAATGCGTGTAATACAGTATACAGTGACCGTTAGACTGTCAAGAATGGGTTTTGCTCCTCGGTAACAGAACAGTTAAATAACAATTTGATGAGTGACCGGAGTTTTACTTGGCCTGTACTTGACACAGAGAGCTGATATATGATACCGTATGACCATTATACAAACTCAACTGGACGTTTAATATTTGGTTTTTGCATTCGTTTTGGTCTATACCTCCCATTCATTTGGTTTTCACATCTTGGCGAGTTACGTAAGTGCCCCGGGCGGGGTAAACTACGGTCCAGGTACAAAGTGGCAATGTTTACCTGTGTAGCCGAGACTGTGTTGTAAATTTACACGTGTCGATTATGGTCGTTTAAAAAACCCACAAAACACCATTTCTAAATTTAAGAAAGTACAGACAGAAAGATGTAGCTAGAGTATAGAAACATACTGAAAAATCTAATTTTATGTTCAAACACGAAAGGCATTCCTCAATTTACACCAACCACGATTGTTATCGCCCAACGTTCGTCGATCGTCCGCACAAATGTGCGCAAGGAATGATCGTCCATTTTTTTTATCGTTTGCACTTCGTGCACACATCGTACACACATCGTACACACATCGTGCGCACACCGCACATCGTGTTACGTTGTGCGATCCCACAGCTGTACCTTTAGTTAGCTGTCGCAAAGTCGCCAACATACAATCTACAGGACCCATTCCCAGAACGACCCATTGCATTCTTAGAGACATGATCTTAAATGACCTCAGCTGTAAAACAAGTTAAAACCAAACCCAAACCAAACCTTAATTCGCGCGTTTTTATCATAATTAATAGAAATCATAACGAACACGTATTGTTTTATTTCAACAACTTTTATTCAAGATATGATTGGATTTTACAAACTTAGGTGCTGCACTTAAGCCTCTGGCCAAGAGTTGGATGTGGAATCCAGAAAACGTGCTATAGCCCAAACCATGAATCTCGGGCAAGTTATTGTCGCGGTTTCTGACCCATGCCATGTCTTCAACAGATAATGGTAGCACAGCCGTCCTGGTACCTTGATCATACGCCGAACTAGAGTACAAATGTCCAATGTCTACTCCGTTCTTTACTATGTTAAGGTGTATAACATGGTTGCTTGAACTTACAAGTATTACGGTAGAGGTGAATGAGAACAGCCCGGCGACAGGAGCCGTGAAGTGTCCGTGTCGGGAGTCGTATCCGTTCTCGACGTTCGTTACGACATCGTCAAACTCAAGAGTCTGATGCTCTCCAAGTTGCAAAGTATGGGGAGGTNGGGGGGGCGGCGGAGAGAGTCTAGCATAAAATCCAACGGCGGTGTGGTTATCTGAAACATTTGGGTTTTGTTAGATTTATACGATGCGCATGAAGTATCATTAATGAATGAGCACGTGACTCGTACATTTTGGCAAAACTATCCCCTGACCTTTGAACCGGAACTAAACTTTCGTGTTCACCAGATCCAATCATACTGTAATATAATCACATCGTCGACTCCTAGAAATCAATCTTCAATTACGTGTTCTCATCATCAATGTTATAATTTGGTATGTGAGTTTAGTAAGTTTATGCTGTTTTAGCACTGCTACCCAAAGTACTAACATATTCCAGATGAATAATCTAATGTAGCAAAAGTATAACACTTACCTTCATTAGCCAATTTCCTTATCCATGATAGTTTATCGTCTGCTGCAAATATAATGGAAAATTGCCATGACTATTTTCATATATTATGCCCTATCTGCACGGGAGTTCCAAAATTTAGTGTCTGCCCTTCGGGAGGATATGCAAACAATTCAGGCTAAAAAGGGATTGATAAAATGTATTACCTTTGGCCTGAGTTAAGATTATGTTACAGATTCGTAGCTTTCGGCTAAGATAACTCACTAAGTTTCAGGTAATACATTTTTACTCGCATCATTTTGTTAAAAAAAATCCGCTTTTGTTACAAGTGTCTCGTCCGGGGCCTACAATAACTATGTCTACTTTACTACTAAAGTTCCGTTCGAATTCTTATGCGTAAACAATGTACTCCGTTCTTACAAAGCAGAAATCGTGTTATAGGTTATCCTTTTTATCTACAACATTTGGAATCTAACATTATCAAACCAATACATATAACGACAGAACAATATATTTATAATATGGATATTGAATTTTGAACTTTCGTACCACATCGATATGTCAAAATTCCACGAAACTTCGCGGAACAGTGTCAGACGAATAAGATGAAATAGAAAACATTAGGATGGGTATCACGTGGGGTATCATATTCTATAGTGAACAGATGTATAAAGAGTCAATGATAGTCTAGGAACATAAGCAGCATTACAGGGGTTGATATTTGATATATAATCGCAAGTGTTGATGCAATGCATGTACGAGCCCATTAACTCAATATTGCAGATACATTAATACTGCATTTTCCACTGGTTTAACTTTCTCTAATGCATCTAACGTATAGTTACTTACATTTCCATGACCATGGGTTCTTAATGAATATCTTCCTAACTTAAATATTAAATCCACGGCAGCGTAAATCGTTTCCGCATGCCTTTTTTTCTACTTTTGATAATTTATAAATATGTCGTCGATGTTTGATATTTTGATAAATTATTGAACTATTTTATCGATTTCGCGAATTGTATATAATACATCTTCGCTTATAAACACGTGAGGTACGGTAGTCTATTGGTAGAACGCTGGGCTCGTGACCGAAGGGTTGCGGGTTCGAGTCACTTCACGGCACTGTGTTGTATCATTTAACGAAACACTTTACTCCGCTTGTTCCAGTCTACTCCAGTGTAAACGAGTAAGTGGTTTGTCTGTGCTAGAATTGTTGAATGCTAGCTGTTAGCGCCGAAATGGCAGCACCAGCGGTATGCTCCCCAGAAAATAAAGAAAGATATTGGCTGGTTGCGGATAACAATTTGTGAACCGCTTTGAAACGACCTACGAACTAGGTTGTTATAAAGCGGTATATAGGAGCTTCGAATAATTATAATGAACAGAATTTATATTTTCGGCAAACATCTTATTGACTACATGTACATGGTCTTGTATTATATCGTTGATCCTTGGTAGGTACACAGTAAATTATTATATCGTTGATACTGGGTAGGTACACATTAAATTATTATATCGGTGATCCTGGGTAGGTCCACAGTAAATTATTATATCGGTGATCCTGGGTAGGTACACAGTAAATTATTATATCGTTGATACTGGGCAGGTACACATTTAATTATTATATCGGTGATCCTGGGTAGGTACACAGTAAATTATTATATCGGTGATCCTGGGTAGGTCCACAGTAAATTATTATATCGGTGATCCTGGGTAGGTACACAGTAAATTATTATATCGTTGATCCTGGGTAGGTACAAAGTAAATTATTATATCGGTGATCCTGGGTAGGTCCACAGTAAATTATTATATCGGTGATCCTGGGTAGGTCCACAGTAAAGTATTATATCGTTGATCCTGGGTAGGTACACAGTAAATTATTATATCGTTGATACTGGGCAGGGACACATTTAATTATTATACCGGTGATCCTGGGTAGGTACACAGTAAATTATTATATCGGTGATCCTGGGTAGGTACAAAGTAAATTATTATATCGGTTACCCTGGGTAGGTACCCAGTAAATTATAATATCGGTGATCCTGGGTAGGTCCACAGTAAATTATTATATCGGTGATCCTGGGTAGGTACACAGTAAATTATAATATCGGTGATCCTGGGTAGGTAAACAGTAGATTGTTATATTGGTGATTCTAGGAAGGTAAACAGTAGATTGTTATATCGGTGATACTCTAGGTAAACAGTAGATGGATATATCGGTTACCCTGGGTAGGTAAACAGTAGATTATTATATCGGTGATCCTGGGTAGGTAAACAGTAGATGAATATATCGGTTACCCTGGGTAGGTAGACATCATATTGTTATATCGGTTACCCTGGGTAGGTAAACAGTAGATTATTATATCGGTGATCCTTAGTAGGTAAACAGTAGATGAATATATCGGTTACCCTGGGTAGGTAGACATTATATTGTTATATCGGTTACCCTGGGTAGGTAAACAGTAGATTATTATATCGGTTACCCTGGATAGGTAAACATTAGATTGTTATATTGGTGATTCTGGGAAGGTAAACAGTAGATTAACAGTAGATTATAATATCGGTAATCCTGGAGGTAAACAGTAAATTATTATATCGGTGATACTATAGGTAAACAGTCGATGAATATATCGGTTACCCATGGTAGGTAGACATTAGACTTATATCAGTGAACCTGGGTAGGTAAACAGTAGATTATTATATCATTTATCCTGGGTAGGTAAACAGTAGATCATTATATCGGTTACCCTGGGTAGGTAGACATTATATTGTTATATCAGTGATCCTAGGTAGGTAAACAATAGATTAGTATTAATTGCTTATTGGTTAAGCTGTTATGTAATAGATTTGGTATTTTATATTATGAAATCAATATTTCCTTTTCAATAAATATCGGTTAGATTACGTCCATTCTTATGCTTGTAATCTTTTGCTTAATTTCTCAAGTATGATCCTAGTGATCACAAACGTTAGACAACCATTCAATAGTCATTTTTGCTAATTTCTCACTTGAATGGTCGCGGTATTTCTTTCGTTTGTGACTTCTATATAAACTTTATTTATTTTTGCAACAATTATGAAGCAAGTTTACAGCTTATATAAATCATTCTTGTTGGTCCAGATGTTAGCGAGCGGCGTGTCTTAATGTGGAAGGAAACTGGAGTACCCGGGGGAAACCCACGTGGTCGGGTAGGTGACCCAATACCTTTTCACGTTTTATCAGGGAATCGATCCCCGGCCGCCTTGGTGAAAGGCAACCCGTTTGTGACTTAATAGTATAATTGTTTTTAAATTCATGAAATGATTCCTTTGTCTGTTGCAACACATTTAATCAACTGTCTACCACAATATAATTAAAAAATGTGATCTGATTTTATTAATGTAAACACATGTAATCTAATAACTATTTGAAATATTTTGTTTTCTGTTATTCAAATTATCATTAACCGTTATCATTGCATTTCTTATATTTATTGACAAGAACCAGCATTGCTGTATACCAAAACCTGTTGCGACCTATGTGAGTCTCCCTATCTACGTAGCTAAGTGCACAAGCCGAACAATAACAAATTGTTCGAAATGTAACAATCAGTTCCAATTGTTAGGTCAATGAATATGGAAACATTAGGGACGTGTTTCGCTCTTTGACCTTGATGTGTTCCAACTTGATGATGAAGTGTGTGACAGTAATTGAATACTTAAGTTAAATATAGCGGACATTTAAATTACATTGAGGTGACGTCTAGAGTAGTTATATAAACAAAATATAAGTGCTAAAAGTAAACTCTAAGAGTAAACAAACGTCTCTCGATACTAAGTTGTCCTGTCAACAATACATTGCATTTACGTCCGTTACATATTGTATCGAACTACAATAGGTCTCTTCTTGACAAAACTTTATTAAAGGAATAACAGAGTAAGTAAAGGCTTTATTACTTCATGTTTGCTCCATACAGGTATCGTATAGTTGTTCGTATAGAATGTGTTACATAGGTTACACACAACATATACCATTGGGAGTTTTATTCAGAAACAAACTCCATTCATTTACAAAGTCCATCCACTCATTTTGGAGTATTTATTAAAAGTCCTTCTTTTAACTGAAATAAAAATGTCATGGAAATGACAAAACACCGTGAAGTTGCGTTGTTTCAATCAACTAGAACAAGACCATCTTATATAAGATGCATGCACATTGTATAAACAGTCAAACAAGCATAAACAAAATCCTTTCTAAGCCCCAAAAAGTGCTTTCGTAATACAAGTGGTATTTATATACTGGTTCAGGTCACAATACAATCAATACAATTAAGTCAAAACGCTGGTTTTTTGTTTTGTGTTTTTTTTTGTTTATCTCATTTTGGTTGTATATGAGTGAAATATATACATATATAAGGTATTCAATGAAAACCAATTAATTTTCTATTTATTTCATTTTTAAAACAACGTGACACGAATACTGCTATATCAGAAAAAATGCAGGAATTTGTAGCGTACCATTTGACACCTGGTACTAATGACGCCACGGCTGACAACAATGTAGAGTGCTATGTTTAAAAGGGGTTCTCAATACAATTATGTCTTTTGTTGCTATAATCTGGAAAAAAAATCGAAACAGAAATATCAGTATGTATGCTGTAAAGATGAAACAAAAAAGCCACTTATTTCGCTGTTGCTTCATCTGAACTTGAAACTGAAGATCTTTGGAGTGAATAGAAGGTACCGTTCTGATTTAACAATATTAAGAGTGATGTCAGCATTTCTATCTGTATATCATTTCTTATATCTTCACTGTAGTAAGGGTGGTGAACGATTTAATCAAACGGAGAGTTCAGGATTTTTCTCAATTTAAAACGTGATAAGTGAGAAAATCGTAGGTTGTTAAATGAGAAATTCGTAGGGTGTTTTCTATTTTATCACATTTTAAATTGTGAAAAATCATGAAATCTCCGTTTGATTAAAACGTTCATCAATCTTAATACAGTGAAGATATAAGAAATGATATGCTGACATTAAACTGACATGAATTAATTATGTTATATTTTTGTAGATAGAACGAGGACGCCATTTTTCACATCAGGATTTCGTGCATGGGAAAGCACGGGAAGTGGAAAATGTATTTACAGATCAAACCCATGCGGCGCTTCTCGCCGCTTCTGGGTTTGAAAAAAAAAATCAAACAAAATAAGGGCAATACGTAGAACGCATATGTTACGATAAGAGAACTTTGCTCAGGCGCCTTTGCCTTCGGCGTCCGGGAGCTACCCTCTTGAAGAATGCTTTGAAACAAAATGGTGCTCTGGAATAACTTCGGTATCTTGAAACAATCGTAAACAAACTCTCTCCTTTACAAACTTGTCCGTATAAATCCTGAGGTATAATCACGCTAACTGTTTTTATAATTATGGAAACTTATATCTGATTTAATATCCATTAGGACCTTCCTAAACTTTTTCCTCATGCACTTCAATTATGGATTGTACAGAAGTAAATAAAGCACAACCAATGCAATAAATATAATATAACCAGGCCTCGCTTGCACGAAACTTTCTGCCTCCGTTCTAAATGCTAAACTTTGAGTATACGCTTAACTTTAAACATATGCTTAACTTTCTAAAATTCTTAGTTCTCAATCGTTAGATTTTTAGCTATGAATGGACCAATATTTGAGAACGTTTTTTAGAAAGTCAATTTTGAGAACTTCTCAGCTAAGCACGTACTTAGTCGGAGGATTGAGAACTAAGAATTAAGAAGTTCCGTGCAAGCGGGGCCTTGTAGTAAAGCGAAGTCAAATCGATTGGCTCTTTGATCGTCATTTCGTGCATGAATAATAAACAATTATTGTATTAAATTACACTTAGCGTCGCCAATTCGACGGCGGTGTTATTGCTCTAACTTCTACATATGTTACACCTTTGTGTGCTACATGTAACGTTTTAATGGTCATTTGTCTGATGAAGGTGACAGAGTACATACCCTACTAGTCATCGAAACGTCATATATAAAACATCCATTGGCAGCTGTTTAATATGACCTTTTTAATATATTGATACAACATTTATGAGTTTTTCTTTGCGAATTCCATCCATTTAGCTATATCATTTATTTCAGATTTCAGATGCTCTAGTCGCTTGCCTATATAGTCACAGTAAACAGCTTTATCAGCATGTTGGTCTAATATACTCAAGTGGCAGTCCCAGGCTCTTCTTAAATCTTTTGGATTACCGTAATAATGAGAGGCAATTGTATTTTTAAATGAAGTCGACACTGTAAACGCTCGTCCTGAGTTAACAAACACATTATCTATAACCTTAATCCCTAGCTTAGCTGCTAAAATTCCCAAATATACATCTTCAAATTTAAACAACTTGGTATACTTTGCTGCTATTGCAAAGTTCCTCACAGTTGACATGGACATGATCACAAAGCCTCCGAAAATATAATTGGGATAATTTTTGAAAGTATACTCAGTCTTGGGTGTATACCATTTCGATGATGGATCCCGTATTGGCATAGTACCTGTTAAACGATGACCGGAGAAGAATGTCTCTGCTTTCCGTGCGGGAAGATCGTCAAGATATTTAAGCAACAGGTCTGGTGCGACGTAAATATCGTCATCCACGGAAACTACGTACATGGCACGTCGACAGTGGGTTACCGCCCACTTCAACCCGCTCACTGTCTTCAGGGTTAGGTTATAATAGTTATCTTTGTAATTCACAAGGAAAATGTCCTGGTATTTAGCGGATTCGTCTTGTAGATCTAATAATCCTTCTTTTTCTTTTGGTATGCCGAAGGAGAAAACAATCCGAATCCATGGGAAGCGTTTTTTGTCGGCCCAGGTATCGCGAATGATTTCTCGTTTTGAAGTCTTGTGTGGAGCACTTTTCACAATGAATAAAACCCGCACGGCATCTGATCCGCTGCATGTGTTATGTGGGTTGATAATGTAGCGATAATCAAACACATTGATTGGTGTTACATCAGCAAATCCGTTCTCGTCGTACTGCCGTACAATCTGTGTTAAATTCACATTGAATGGATATTTATCAGGAGTAAATCTTGCAGTTGTTCCGTTTTTATTCGTCTTCTGGCCTTCTGTCTTTATCACATTAACCACGAACTTTGGTATGAGTTTTATGTCATTACGGATTCGGTCATATTCAATGCTTTCCCGCTGCTCAAACAAAGCACGTTCATGATGTGAATCGTTTGTTTGAACTCCATTCAACCTCTCTACATCCAAGTCATCGTTGTTGACTACTACTACACTGTCCCGTTTCTCCAAAGAGACATGTCGTTGACTGAGTGATGTCAACGCACTCTTTATTTCCTCGTTATGTTCTTGATGGTCAATAGGTGCTCTTCTATCCCATTCTTCCAAGTCTTTATGCAAACGAGCCACGCGTGTCTTTTTAAGAATGCTGTCATATTTTGTTGTATGTAAGCGTAATATAGTACCCACTACTATCACTAAAAGTAGCAAATAAAGTTTCGGATTTCGCAGAAGTAGAATCGCCGTTTTAAAAGGCTGTTTAAGTAGCCGCATTTTTAAACAACTTTACTTGATGACAGACAGAAGTATGTATATCCGACACTAGAATTACAGAGCAAATACCGTATAATCGGCTATTGATTTAATGGATTTTGTGTGACGGTGTGGTTAAAGAAGTCACATGATTGTAAATGACAATCTAATACTGACCAGTTTGGAATTTAAAATGTTGTTATTCTTTCTTCTTTACCCTTTTACAAGTTCTTTAATACTAGGAGTAGGATTGAGGACTATCCGCTATACAAACATAGATAATGTACCATCTAGACTGTACCCAAATATAGTTTAAGTGACTGTAGTATGTGAATAAGTTTCGTGTGCATTCGCAATGGTTAAATTCTTATGAACAGATTACGAATATATTTATCTTATAACTTCACTAAACCCGTCTTCCAAATTCCAAACGTTATCTTACGTTATCTGCAACCCTTGGAATATGTCATGACGAAACAATATCTCCCATCCTCGAATTATAAGTATTAATCTCTCGATACGCTATCTACCTATAGTTGATTCATGTCGTTGAAGATTTTACCCTTACGCTATCTACCCTATAACTGATACCTGTTCGTTGGAGATTTTACCCTTACGCTATCTACCCTATAGCTGATACCTGTCCGTTGAAGTTGAAGATTTTACCCTGACGCTATCTACCCTATAGTTGATTCCTGTCCGTTGAAGATTTTCCCCTTACCCTATCTACCCTATAGTTGAGTCCTGTCCGTTGAAGTTGAAGATTTTACCCTTACGCCATCTACCCTATAGTTGATTCCTGTCCGTTGAAGATTTTCCCCTTACCCTATCTACCCTATAGTTGAGTCCTGTCCGTTGAAGTTGAAGATTTTACCCTTACGCCATCTACCCTATAGTTGATTCCTGTCCGTTGAAGATTTTACCCTTACCCTATCTACCCTATAGTTGAGTCCTGTCCGTTGAAGTTGAAGATTTTACCCTTACGCTATCTACCCTATAGTTGATTCCTGTCCGTTGAAGATTTTACCCTTAAGCTATCTACCCTAGAGTTGATTATGTCGGTTGAAGATTTTACCCTTACGCTATCTACCCTATAGTTGATTCCTCCCCGTTGAAGATTTTACCCTTACGGTATATTCTAGTCTACTTGTATTTCGTGAAAGGTGTCATGTAAAAAGTCACCTTTGATTTTGTCAGGACTTTCCATAGATACAGGCAAGAGATGTGGATGGAGAGGGTACCATTTGGTTATCGAGGATGGCTGTCTCCAACCAAAAGTGTGTAGGTCACCAACAATCTAAGACAAGGTTTCACGTCGTAGAATGTTTTGCTCGGAGTGTTTTTGTTAGTTCGATTGAGTAAAAATATTCCCACTTCATCTTCATTTAAGGTAACAAATCTGCTTATGTTGGGATTGTCGTCTGCTCCGGTTGCTATTCTGACCGTGCATGTTCAACAGTGACCGTCTCAATACGATCTCGTTTAAGTTCAACTATAAAATCAATTCAAATTTAAAATCGGCATGTATATGTACCTGACATGTATACATGTTAAACAACACAATTTGTTTTTAATTTTCATTAAAGCAGGCAATTTAAGATTAGAAAGCTAAAATTAATTTATCTTGCGCTCTAACTTGCTTCAGCCTGTCATTAAGGCTATGACATAAGATTTGATAATGATAATTTGAATGATTCCGAAACTGTGAACGTTTTTCTCGAATTAACATACCTGTTGTTTGTGGCATCTATTCCAACCTCAGCGGCCAATATTTCCAAATACACATCCTCAAATTTACAGCCTAGTAAACAAAGCTGCTACAGTAAATATTCTCACTGTAGACATCGACATGAGAATATATTCCCTAAAAGTGTAATTTGGATAATTCTGAAAAGGATATTCGGACAGGGACACCATCCATTTATCTTTGAGAGTTCTAATTGGCTTTGTGTTGACCAACAGGTGGCCGGAAAAGAGTTTATCATTTTTCCGGACTTCAGATCTGTCAAGAAAACTGACCAGCAGGTCTGGTGCGACGTAAAAGCACGTGTACAGTGAGTAGTCCGCTCATAGTCTTCAGGGTAAGGTTATAATGATTATCAACATAATATTTTACAATGAGGATATCATTATATCTCGTAGATTCATACAGTAAGGCTTGCAAAGCTGTGTAATTTTTTTGAAAACCCGAAAGAAAAAAACAATACGAATGGATTTAAATCGTTTCGTGGTAGCCCATGTTTTTCGAATGGTTTGTCGACGTAGAGTGTGATCTGAGCTACTTTTTACAATAAAGAACACCTTTTTTCCGGTGTTTTGCGAAAGTGGTCAGGGCTGACAAAGTAGCTATAATCAAACCTATTGATTGGCCGCTAATCCACAAAACCTTTTGTGCCATAGTGATGTAAACTTTCCAGTTAGATTAACATTACATGGGTTTTTATCAGGCGAAAACGTGTAATTCTTTTGAGCATTTTGTAAATATGTATTGACGTCCAGTAACGCTTATTCGTTTACGTCTGGCTTGAGTTTCACTTCATTATTCAAATTGTTTTGGCGTTCCGTTTGCTCAATATGCTCTTGGATGGCATTCTGCTTCTCAGGAAAATGTCTTACTCTTTTCTTTCTTCTTGCACTGGTTGAACTTTTTGTCTTTTGTTTTCTTTCAAGTCCTGCACTCGCACGAGACAATCCTTCGATTTTTTTACATTTGTCGTTATGATTTCACTCATATACAGGTTTAATACGATAAAAATCCCTATCACAAAAACATATGAAACGCAGTGTGAAGGGATATTGCCACAGAAACATAGCTGTTGAAATTTCAGATGATATAATGTATACCATGTTAGTAACGTATTATGTATACCATGTTAGTAAGGTATGATGTACACCATGTTAGTAAGGTATCATGTATACCATGTAAGTAAGGTATGGTGTATACCATGTTAGTAAGGAATGATGTTTACCATGTTAGTTAGGTATAATGTATACCATGTAAGTAAGGTATGATATATACCATCCTAGTAAGGTATGATGTAAACCATGTTAGTAAGGTATGATGTCTACCATGTTAGTAAGGTATGATGGATACCATGTTAGTAAGGTATGATATATACCATGTTAGTAAGGTATGATGGATACCATGTTAGTAAGGTATGATGGATACCATGTTAGTAAGGTATGATATATACCATGTTAGTAAGGTATGATATATACCATACTAGTAAGGTATGATGTACACCATTGTCGTTATGATTTCACTCATATACAGGTTTAATACGATAAAAATCCCTATCACAAAAACATAAGAAACGCAGTGTGAAGGGATATTGCCACAGAAACATAGCTGTTCAAATTTCAGATGATATAATGTATACCATGTAAGAAAGGTATGGTGTATACCATGTAAGTAAGGAATGATGTATACCATGTTAGTAAGATATGATGTATACCATGTCAGTTAGGTATGATGTATACCGTGTTAGTAAGGTATGATGTATACCATGTTAGTAAGGTATGATATATACCATCCTAGTAAGGTATGATGTACACCATGTTAGTAAGGTATGATGTATACCATGTAAGTAAGGTATGATGTATACCATGTTAGTTAGGTATGATGTATACCATGTTATTAAGGTATAATGTATACCATGTTAATAAGGTATGATGTATACCATGTTAATAAGGTATGACGTATACCATGTTAGTAAGGTATGATGTATACCATGTTAGTAAGGTATGATGTATACCATGTTAGTTAGGTATGATGTATACCATGTTATTAAGATATAATGTATACCATGTTAATAAGGTATGATGTATACCATGTTAATAAGGTATGACGTATACCGTGTTAGTTAGGTATGATGTATACCATGTTAGTAAGGTATGATGTATACCATGTTAGTAAGGTATGATGTATACCATGTTAGTAAGGTATGATGTACACCATGTTAATAGTCTAAAAGTGACTGATCATTGTAGTAATTATGGCCCCTATAAGTTTCCGCCTAGTAGCACAGGTTCGGATTCAGTTTCGATAAGTATAAGTCAAGTCAGATCGGTTTAAAACAAACATCATATACTAACAAATGAGTCAGGCGTTTTCTGTATTCATGTTCCTTTCATTAAACTTCGCTCTTCAAATATCATTCAGTTACGAATATCTTAAAAATCATCGACTTTAACTGTCTTTTTATATTATCGTTATTATATCAATATGAACTGGGCTAAAAATGTTCGCCTAGTTGAACTTTAGCTTTTCGCCGAAATAATCGATATTCGTTCAGTGCTAATTTCACTCTTCAAATTTGATCCCTATGCATATTATGATGTGTATTGATGTTTGCTGTGTTCGTTTTCATTTTAACAAATTTTATTCATGATGGTATATGAATGGAATCGAACAAAAGGCTATGCCTATACAGTAGATTTCTCTTAATATCACTTCCCATTTGTCAGAGAAAAACATGATATTAACAGAAACATGACATAAACAGAATACATATTTTCTGATGTTTTTCAGCCCTCAAAACCGGAAGTGAACTTTAAGTCAAATGCCTAAGTGATGTGGCTCTATGAAGAAGATTGATATTTTGTAACTAACCTTGTTCTTTACCCTAGTTGAAATATAGATATAAGTAAATAAGTATAGAAATAAATATATTATTTGTATTTCATTTCAGTATGCAGTTACATTTCATATAGTTAGTAGCAAAATGACGATCAGTACGATTGTAATTATGATTGTTTACTGCAGTAGTGATGTAGGTATACAAGTGTTTGGCTGGTATTCTGCATTAAATTCAATTGTAAACATGAGACTTGGTAAATATTTACCTATATCTTGATATATATACTGTTCTTACGCTAGTAACATCTTTTCATAGATTAATTTCTTTAGATATTTGCTGCAAGTGTGTAATCAAAGATAGTACACATGTTATAATTAGTTGAAAGAATACATCAAACTTGGCATTAGAAAAGTTTACAGATGTTAGACTGTCCTAGCTAGCTCCCCCAA